TTTTTCCGTCATAGGGCCACAGACGTAGCTGTAGCTATTTCCACCCGCCGGGCTATACCATCGATCAACAGAAGGGGTTTTCACCGGGGCTGCGATGTCGTGTTTAGGGCCATCGAAGTCCAAAACTAGGACTCCGGTTTTCGTCTGCGGAGCGCACTTCATATGTACTGCATATCTGTTTCACAATAATTGAGGGAAATATTAGAACCACTAACACAATACAAAGAATTTGAGACTCGAAAACTATCTTCTCGGGAGCTGTGCACACTGCAGTAGTCAAAGGGTTAAATTGGAACGCATGCAATAGTGGAATGGTCCGTCTAGAAATGCGACCTAGCGCGTCCAGTGGCCGGGCTCGGACAGAGCTCGTCCTTCTCCTGTTCTAAGCACTGGAATCACAGCGCGCACAAGAACAATATCGCCTAGAACCATACAGTGTGTACAGTACAGTCAACTGCTTAAAGGCAAGAATCAGGATTAAATTGATGAGTTGATTCCACTCAAATGTGAAAGTAGGGATGGAGGTGGACCGCCAGTGGAGAAAAAGGAAAAATCCTGAAATACACAGGAAATACGAGCATTTTGCTCTATGCTGTGGAGAAGTTCAAAAGACAGGCAGGGAGATGAGAGATAATGTGAGCGCGGAGAGTGGTAGAGAAGTCCGAGAAGAGAGAGCATAGCAGATCAACGCGACGCAGACAAGATATCGAACGGTGGGCGGACCATGTTAAGTTTGGTGGAGTCTGTTAGAAGTCCATGGCGCCTAGGGTCCTAGTGACGCGTTTCGATGTAGAAAGGTGGCGCTACCTTTGCACTTGCGTACCCAGCACTTCTAGCCATGGTAAGGGCTTCTTAGGTGGGTCTGAGCCCGAACTTTGTCTTTAACCCTTTGACTACTGGTGGGACACATGTGTCCCACTTCGTAGTCAAAGACACTACCACAGTTTCAGGAATATTGAGGCAGGAGCGCTCATTTGATGGCTGAATTGTGCACATATAGAAGCTTTCTAATTCTTACTATGACAGTAATCGTCAGAAGCTAAAGCGAGTCATCCTGCGTAAGTTAATCTTTGACTACTGGTGGTACACATGTGTCCCACTTGTAGTCAAAGTTCCGTAGTCAAAGTCACTACCACAGTTTTGGCACTTATTGAGATCGGAGGGCCCGCTTTATGGCGGAATTGTGCACAACTAGAAACTTGGTAATTCTTACTCTGTCAGCGAAGTATCAGAAGTCTAAGCGAGTTACGCTGGATAAGTTGATAAGCAAGTCGTTCCACAGGTCACTGGGCAGTGTGCACAGCTCCCGAAAAGGTAGTTTTCGAGTCTCACACTCTTTGTATTGTGTTAATGGTTCTAATATTTCCCTCAATTATTGTGAAACAGGTGAAACATAAGCAAACCGATGACGGATGGAGGTTTTTATCGGCCGCAAGCCAGTTAGAGGACGACAGCGTTTTACGACTGCGTTGGAAATTCCAACCTCCGGAGTTTTGTCAGTTCGTTTGATGCGGAAGTGGTAGTAGAACACTCCTATGATGACGCAGCTTTCGAGCATAAAAACCAGCGAAAATTCGTTAGAGGAGAAGCAGCCGGTGGGCGCAGCCTGTAGGCAGGGGAGCAGCACTTCTACAAAGTGCGGCTTGCAATTCTTTTCAAGTGCGTTCCCAACCACATTGCCTTGTTCCACGAATGAGATGTGATAAATGTGTATTTGTTGAATGGTATTTGAACTGTTCAAAAATGCTCATTCGAGCGGAGATGGTGTGGTGACAGGAGGGGCCACTGCCGCGCATATGGTCTCTGGATCGAATCCCAGCTCAAACCCAGCGCGCGTCAGCCAAATTTCTACAGATGATTAGTTGTTGCTAGGAGCGACTGTTACTACACAAAACACATCGATAACTTGTTTTTAAAAAAGTCGTAGTCTAAGGGTTAAGCCATCCTCCCGCCACATTCTCCTGTTATCTCGGTTCTTCCCTACTTCTGTCACAAGTCACATAGTGCACTACTGTTGACTGTATCAGAATCAGAAACTCAAAAAAGAGACATGCACCTTTTTGAACGAACGACTTCGTTTGAACAGTTCATTCATAAAAATGTGCTGCGTCAAAACTTTATGCTATACCTCAACACCGATGAAAAGGAAACAGAAAAAAGCACAGCCGGTTCAAAATTAATACATAATTGGACCACCCTTTAAGACTAACTTCAAACATTCTATTCGGCATACTATCAACAAGATTTTGAATAACATGGATTTGAGGTCCAGCACTCAGAGCGGCTTCTCTCAGCATCGATACACTGTCATACTGGACTCCTCCGCATCTCCAAGCCATTCACAGGTTGAACGCGAGACGTGTGCAGGAGCGTTATTCTGTCGAGAACGAGTCTTTTTGCCTTGTGATCGTGGAGGTAAGGAAACAATCTGCGCTGAGTAACATCTTGATCCATGTGCGTGGAGAAGAATTCCATATTAAGTGCTCCATACAAACAGAAGGCCGCCCATGCTATAACAGTTCCTTTGCCAAATACACGTTTCG